AAAAATATTTATTAAGTTACCTGTCAATTTTGACAGAAGTGTTTAGGGATTAATTTATAGCAACTACAACGATTTAACAACACTAAAGTCGTTTTGAACACACAAGAATTATTTAAACAAATCTTAATTACGTTTATAATGTGTCTATATCTTTAATTTGATTAATTTAAAGAAGAGAACTCACCTTTTTCAAGACACGCTGTCATTTTTAGGTTTTAGTAACATTTATTGCCAACCCTAAAAAATAAAATAAATTACTCAAAATGATTAAGAAATTATGTAATAATTTGCTTTTAATTTATTTAACATTAAGTTGAAATCGATATACATAAATCGTTGGAAATTAATCAAAAAGCACATTAAAAATATTTAATCTACCTATCAATTTTGACAGAAGTGTTTAGGGATCAATTTATATCAACTAGAACGATTTAACAACACTAAAATCGTTTTAAACACACAAGAATTATGTAAAGAAACCTTAATTATGTTTATAATGTGTCTATATCTGTAGACTTGATTAATTTAAAGAAAATAACTCACCTTTTTTAAAAGACGCTGTCATTTTTAGGTTTTAGTAACATTTATTGCCAACCCCTAAAAGATAAAATAAATCACTCAAGATGATTAAGAAATTTTGTAATAATTTGCTTTTAATTTATTTAAAATTAAGTTGAAATCGATATAAATCGTTGGAAATTAAACGAAAACCACATTAAAATAAATTAAAATCATTAAATTAGTCTTAAAATTATTAAAAATATTTATTAAGTTACCTGTCAATTNATCCGAAGTTTATAATAATCCACAAAAACACGTTAAAATAAATTAAAACTATAAAATCATAATTGAAAATTATTAAAAATACTTAATTTTTTCTTTCGTTATCTGTCAATTTTGACAGAAGTGTTTAAGGATCAATTTATGTCGACTTGAATGATTTAACAACACTAAAATCGTTTTAAATACACAAAAATTATTACAAAATCTATAAATTCTGTTTAGAATGCTTCTATATCTTTAGATTTGATTAATTTAAAGAAAAGAACTCACCTTTTCAAGGGACGCTGTCATTTTTAGGTTTTATAACATTTATTGCCAACCCCTAAAAAATAAAATAAAACACTCAAATCGATTATGTAATAATTTGCTTTTAATTTATTTAAAATTAAGTTGAAATCGATATAAATCGTTGGTAATTAATCGAAAAGCACATTAAAGTGAATTAAAATTATTAAATTAGTATTAAAATTATTAAAAATATTTATTAAGTTACCTGTCAATTTTGACAGAAGTGTTTAGGGATTAATTTATATCAACTACAACGATTTAACAACACTAAAGTCGTTTTGAACACACAAGAATTGTTTAAACAAATCTTAATTACGTTTATAATGTGTCTATATCTTTAATTTGATTAATTTAAAGAAAAGAACTCACCTTTTTTAAAAGACGCTGTCATTTTTAGGTTTTAGTAACATTTATTGCCAACCCCTAAAAAATAAATAAATCACTCAAAATGATTAATAAATTTTGTAATAAGTTGCTTTTAATTTATTTAACATTAAGTTGAAATCCATATAAATTGTTAGAAATTAATCGAAAAGCATATTAAAATAGATTAAAATTATTAAATTAGTATTAAAATAATTAAAAATATTTATTAAGTTACCTGTCAATTTTGACAGAAGTGTTTAGGGATCAATTTATTATCAACTAGAGCGATTTAACAACATAAAAATCGTTTTAAATACACAAGAATTATTTAAACAAATCTTAATTATGTTTATAATGTATCTATATCTTTAGATTTGATTAATTTAAAGAAAAGAACTCACCTTTTTCAAGAGACGCTGTCATTNGCTTTAAAAGAAAACTGACCTATCCTAACATTTCTTCACGCTTTAATTGGAGTGTCAAAAGTAAACTACCCGTCTTAACATTTCTTCACGCTTTAATTGGAGTGTCAAAAGAAAACTACTTGTCTTAACATTCCTTCACGCTTTAATTGGGATTTCTTCACGCTATAATTGGGGTACAAAAGAAAACCGACATTCCTTCACGCTGTAATTGAGGGGGTTTAAAAGAAAACTGACCTATCCTAACATTCCATTTGAACTCTAGAAGGTTATATGATTCAGAGAAAAGTCTTTTCGATCACACTTGGTCATCCGAAGTTTATAATAATCCACAAAAACACGTTAAAATAAATTAAAACTATAAAATCATAATTGAAAATTATTAAAAATACTTAATAAGTTACCTGTCAATTTTGACAGAAGTGTTTAAGGATCCATTTATGTCGACTTGAATGATTTAACAACACTAAAATCGTTTTAAAGACACAAGAATTATTTAAAGAAACCTTAATTATGTTTATAATGTGTCTATATCTGTAGATTTCATTAATTTAAAGAAAAGAACTCACCTTTTTCAAGAGACGCTGTCATTTTTAGGTTTTAGTAACATTTACTGCCAACCCCTAAAAAATAAAATAAATCACTCAAAATGATTAAGAAATTTTGTAATAATTTGCTTTTAATTTATTTAACATTAAGTTGAAATCGATATAAATCGTTAGAAATTAATCGAAAAGCACATTAAAGTTAATTAAAATTATTAAATTAGTATTAAAATTATTAAAAATATTTATTAAGTTACCTGTCAATTTTGACAGAAGTGTTTAGGGATCAATTTATTATCAACTAGAGCGATTTAACAACATAAAAATCGTTTTAAATACACAAGAATTATTTAAACAAATGTTAATTACGTTTATAATGTGTCTATATCTTTAATTTGATTAATTTAAAGAAAAGAACTCACCTTTTTTAAGAGACGCTGTCATTTTTAGGTTTTAGTAACATTTATTACCAACCCCTAAAAAATAAAATAAATCACTCAAAATTAAGAAATTTTGTAATAATTTGCTTTTAATTTATTTAAAATTAACTTGAAATCCATATAAATTGTTAGAAATTAATCGAAAAGCACATTAAAATAGATTAAAATTATTAAATTAGTATTAAAATTATTAAAAATATTTATTAAGTTACCTGTCAATTTTGACAGAAGTGTTTAGGGATCAATTTATTATCAACTAGAGCGATTTAACAATATAAAAATCGTTTTAAATACACAAGAATTATTTAAACAAATGTTAATTACGTTTATAATGTGTCTATATCTTTAATTTGATTAATTTAAAGAAAAGAACTCACCTTTTTTAAGAGACGCTGTCATTTTTAGGTTTTAGTAACATTTATTACCAACCCCTAAAAAATAAAATAAATCACTCAAAATTAAGAAATTTTGTAATAATTTGCTTTTAATTTATTTAAAATTAACTTGAAATCCATATAAATTGTTAGAAATTAATCGAAAAGCACATTAAAATAGATTAAAATTATTAAATTAGTATTAAAATTATTAAAAATATTTATTAAGTTACCTGTCAATTTTGACAGAAGTGTTTAGGGATCAATTTATTATCAACTAGAGCGATTTAACAACATAAAAATCGTTTTAAATACACAAGAATTATTTAAACAAATCTTAATTATGTTTATAATGTATCTATATCTTTAGATTTGATTAATTTAAAGACAAGAACTCACCTTTTTCAAGAGACGCTGTCATTTTTAGGTTTTAGTAACATTTATTGCCAACCCTTAAAAAATAAAATAAATCACTCAAAATGATTAAGAAATTTTGTAATAATTTGCTTTTAATTTATTACATTAAGTTGAAATCGATGGAAATTAATCGAAAAGCACATTAAAATAGATTAAAATTATTAAATTAATATTAAAAATATTTAAGTTACCTGTCAATTTTGACAGAAATATTTAGGGATTAATTTATATCAACTAGAACGATTTAACAACACTAAAATCGTTTTAAACACACAAGAATTATTTAAAGAAATCTTAATTATGTTTATATTATATCTATATCTTTAAATTTGATTAGTTTAAAGTAAAGAACTCCGCTTTTACAAGAAACGCTGTCATTTTTAGGTTTTAGTAACTTTTATTGCCAACCCTAAAAAAGAAAATAAATCACTCAAAATTATTAAGAAATTTGGTAATAATTTGCTTCTAATTTATTTAAAATTAAGTTGAAATCGATATAAATCGTTGGAAATTAATCGAAAAGCACATTAAAATCAATCAAAATTATCAAATTAGTATTAAAATAATTAAAAATATTCATTAAGTTACCTGTCAATTTTGACAGAAGTGTTTAGGGATTAATTTATATCAACTAGAACGATTTAACAACACTAAAATCGTTTTAAACACACAGGAATTATTTAAAGAAATGTTAATTATGTTTATAATCTGTCTATATCTTTAATATGATTAATTTAAAGAAAAGAACTCACCTTTTTTAAGACACGCTGTCATTTTTAGATTTTAGTAACATATATTACCAACCCTTAAAAAATAAAATAGATCCCTCAAAATGATTAAGAAATTTTGTAATAATTTACTTTTAATTTATTTAAAATTAAGTTGAAATTCATATAAATTGTTAGAAATTAATCGAAAAGCATATTAAAATAAATCAGTATTATTAAATTAGTCTTAAAATTATTAAAAATATTAGGGATTAATTTATTATCAACTAGAGCGATTTAACAACATAAAAATCCTTTTAAATACACAAGAATTATTTTAGAATTATTATATCTTTAGATTTCATTAATTTAAAGTTAAAGTCATATTTAAGTTTTAATGACATTTATTGCCAACCCCTAAAAAATAAAAATAATTATTTAAATTTAAATCAAAAAACTTATTACTTTCTTGTATTAACAAAATTATTTCTTTTTTAGACACGGTCAAGCTCATACTCATCAATCCGAAGAAAGCAGAGTATGGCACAAACGAGATAATAAATGGCAAAACGTTCATTTTCATCGTAGTTCCGGTTCCGGTGGAGCAACCTTTGGTTTTACCTCACACAAATAGGATTATATTCAACATCCCTGATAACTTATTCTTCTTAACGCTACTTGTTGGATTAATAGAATTAAAAGAATACAAGAGAAACAACAATATTTGATTTGTTTCCACCGGAAGAATTCCGCTAATTTTAATAATCATTTTATGTTTTCATTGTTAAACAGTGGGATTGTAAAACTGTTCTCTATTATATTTAACATTGTGTGAATCTCAACGTTTTTCGTGAATCGAAAAAGCGAGATTTTTTTTACAGTTGTTGTTGTTTAAAAGATTTTTTTATGTATTTTCTTTTTGTTATTACGTTTAAATTTTTAAGTGCCAAAAAGAGAAATGTTAAAATGAATCTTTAAATTTCTGCTTGAGGTTGTTGTAATTGTAATTTATTAATTTAAATCTTTTTTTTTTATCAACTTTTTGAAATTTAATGAAACGTAAGATCCCTTAACTGCCTTAAGATATAACCTATTATAACACGAATAAAAAAAAAAATATTAAGCGCTAAAATTATTACAATTTTAACTATCTATCAGTAAAAAGAAGTTGTCGTTTAAAGAAATAAATAGTCACTTACTACAGCCATTTATTATTGCCATAAATTTTAATTTATTAATTAAAAAAAGGAAACTAGTCTTTTTGATGTAACTTTTCAATGTACTCTTTCGAATTAATAAAAATTAATAATAAGAAATTGTGGTGTTGAAAAGATGCAGTTATAAAAACGATTTCATTGCTCTTATAGAGTAATTATGTACTTCTCAGAATTTCTCCAACGATTTTCGACGTTTTGACCTAAAAAGTAATATAGAATCCGAGGAGGAGCGAGTTTAATATTTAAAGTTAATTAATTAAAAAAAAATGAGAAAAGTAATGAAGATAACTCGTAGTTTCGCACAGACTTGCTTTATTATTATCAAAAAAACTATATTACTACTTATTGTGTAAGTAAATTTTTTAGAAATTGTCCGTATTCTATAAATAATAATCTAAAACCTACAATAAACTAAAAAAAAAATCATGGCACATTTCCTACTTTCTCAAATTTATTTAATTTTTTATCCAATTCGTTAATTATAATTAATTAATCATAATTAGAGGTTAACAACTTAAGGTTGTGTGAGATTGTTTACTTCTTTTTAAATATTTTCCACTTAAATCGAAATCTTTTGATACCCGAAAATAAGCACAAAAAAATAACCATATCAATGGAACATCATACAACTTAAAAAAATAAAAACGTTTACAGCTTAAATAAAATATTTAAAAAGAAGTGAATAATTTGCGTTTAAAAATCGTTTGGTCGCTTTTTAAACTGAGAAAAAATCGAATTTAAACCAAAAAAAAAATGTGTATAAATAAATTTAAATGGTAATGAAAAAAAAAAAACGAATAAACTACCCATACTTCGTGTTTAGCATGTAGTTATATACTTTCTATAGCAAATTTGTAGTTTATAAATATTAATTGTAATTTAAAAATTTAAATAAAGATGAAAAAGAAATGTTTAAAACGAAATAATGAAAGAGAAATAATCAATACCCACGATTGTAACGATGAATAATGAAAAAAATAAAGACGAAAATAAAAAAAAAATATTTAAAATTAATGAGAGAAAGAAAAAAAGGAAATAAAGTCATTCTGTGAATCGACTTAATTACGATTAAATATTTAAAATGATAAATTCTCAAAACTTGTATTGATTACACCCATTTATTGATTTGCAAAAGTAAAATAGAAATCGGGCCTAATGTGTCTAATAAATAATATTTATTGTGTATTTAAAAGAAAATTTGTTTAAACGAAGTTTACAAAAAGACACCATTTAGAGGCTAAAATGAAATAAAATATCGATTTGTCTGAATGTGTGTACAGTATCGAAAATAAATTTTCCTATAGAAATGTTTATAAATAATTGTTTTAGGTTTTTATTTGTTATTTGTAAATGTAAATGTTTTTTCTTGATTGTTTTTGTATATTGTTTGGTCATAATACGACGAAAAATTGATTAAAATCTTCGAGTGTGTACAGGATATTTTTGGTGGTCTCAATTTTGATTAAAAGTTCATTAAAAATGCTTTATTTGATACAAATTGTGTTATATTTTACTCAAAAAAAAATTTTATTAATAATTAATTGTAGAAAATAAAAAATCCGTTAAAATGAGTATAAACACGATATGGTTATTTTCAAAAATACTCGAGATATCATTGTTTTTAGGTTAACTTCCGGTTTATAACTTTTTTGTTTTTAAAGATAACTTAGTCGTGTTTGGTATCCTTTTAAAGGATTTTTAATAATCTTTAACTTAATTTAGGTTAAAAATCAAATTAACTTTTTTTTTAATTATAATTAATAATTTTAATTTGATTGCAAAGTTATCAAAATTAATTAATTAATAATTCGGAAAGTTCATTAAAATCCCTTTAATTTGATACCAAACATGCCATAGTTTAGTTAAAAAAACCAACAGGAAGTTGTAAACCGGAAGTTATTAAAATTAAGAAATTTTTTTAAAATAATTAATTGGGGTTGTAAAAAATAAAAAATCCTTTAAAATGAGTATAAACACGATATGGGTATTTTCAAAAATACTCAAGATATCATTGTTTTTAGGTTAACTTCCGGTTTATAACTTTTTTGTTTTTAAAGATAACTTAGTCGTGCTTGGTATCATTTTAAAGGATTTTTAATAATCTTTAATTTAATTTCGGTTAAAAATCAAATAAATATTTTTTAAATTATAATTAATAATTTTAATTTGATTGCAAAGTTATCAAAATTAATTAATTAATAATTCGGAAAGTTCATTAAAATCCCTTTAATTTGATACCAAACATGCCATAGTTTAGTTAAAAAAACCAACAGGAAGTTGTAAACCGGAAGTTATTAAAAATAAAAAATTTTTTAAAAATAATTAATTGAGGTTGTAAAAAATAAAAAATCCGTTAAAATGAGTATAAACACGATATGGTTATTTTCAAAAATACTCGAGATATCATTGTTTTTAGGTTAACTTCCGGTTTATAACTTTTTTGTTTTTAAAGATAACTTAGTCGTGTTTGGTATCATTTTAAAGGATTTTTAATAATCTTTAATTTAATTTAGGTTAAAAATCAAATTAATTTTTTTTTAATTATAATTAATAATTTTAATTTGATTGCAAAATTATCAAAATTAATTAATTGATAATTCGGAAAGTTCATTAAAATCCCTTTAATTTGATACCAAACATGTCATATTTTAATTAAAAAAATCAACAGGAAGTTGTAAACCGGAAGTTATTAAAATTACAAAATTTTTTAAAAATAATTAATTGAGGTTGTAAAAAATAAAAAATCCTTTAAAATAAGTATAAACACGATTGTGTTATTTTCAAAAATACTCGAGATAACACTGTTTTTAGGTTAACTTCCGGTTTACAACTTTTTTGTTTTTAAATATAACTTAGTCGTGTTTGGTATCATTTTAAAGGATTTTTAATAATCTTTAATTTAATTTAGGTTAAAAATCAAATTAATTTTTTTTAATTATAATTTTAATTTGATTGCAAAGTTATAAAAATTAATTAATTTTGATTGATAATTCGGCAAATTCATTAAAAACCCTTTAATTTGATACCAAACATGTCATATTTTAGTTAAAAAAATCAACAGGAAGTTGTAAACCGGAAGTTATTAAAATTACAAATTTTTTTAACAATAATCAATAATTAATTGGGGTTGTAGAAAATAAAAAATCCTTTAAAATAAGTATAAACACGATATGGTTATTTTCAAAAATACTCGAGATATCATTGTTTTTAGGTTAACTTCCGGTTTATAACTTTTTTGTTTTTAAAGATAACCTAATCATGTTTGGTATCATTTTAAAGAATTTTTAACACTCCTTAACTTAATTTAGGTTAAAAATCGATTTCAATTGTTTTTTAATTATAATTAATAGTTAAAAATCAAATTTGATCGTAAATTTATCAAAATTAATTAATTTTAATTAATAATTCGGCAAATTCATCAAAAACCCTTTAATTTGATACCAAACATGTCATATTTTAATTAAAAAAATTAACAGGAAGTTGTAAACCGGAAGTTATTAAAATTAAGAAATTTTTTAAAAATAATTAATCGGGGTTGTAAAAAATAAAAAATCCTTTAAAATAAGTATAAACACGATATGGGTATTTTCAAAAATACTCGAGATATCATTGTTTTTAGGTTAACTTCCGGTTTATAACTTTTTTGTTTTTAAAGATAACATAATCATGTTTAGTATCATTTTAAAGGATTTTTGATGCTCTTTAACTTAATTTAGGTTAGAATGGAACCCTCTTTACTTCATATTATGTGATGTTGCATTTAGGAGACCACTCAGTTTCTGATCCACCAACTTCCTTTTACGTTGTTGTTGGAATTAGCAGATAATTACCAATCGAGTCTCAACTTTTAACTCAACCCAACGATTTGAATCAAAAATCTATAAGATGAAGATGGTATGTACAATAAGATGATGTTTTTGATTGTTGAAGGAAGAGGTTGCTGATTTATTTCTGATGGCATAAAAGTTCCTGGAACTGTATATTTATGACAAGATGATTTATAAATTAATTTTTGCAACGTCCAAAAATTAATTTTAATGCAGAGTGACTTATAAAGATTAATATTTGTCATTTAATTTAACATAGATCTTACAGAGTTTGGTGGTCTCTTCTTTGCAACATTCTTTGCCACAATCCATCATGCTAAAACAAAAAATTCTTCTCACTTTATGTCACTTTTCTCCTTTGTTTAAACTTTTACCTTTGAAAAAATAGCTTCTTCTGCTTAACATACCTGTGTCTTTCTCTTTTCAAGGTGTGTTTGGTACAATTTTTTCTCCATCATTGTAGCTTCTTAATCACTCAGTGGCCTTTCAGTACCGATGTGAAGTCATGATTGCTATCTCATAATCCATGGTGTCCCTAGTTTGATTGAAGTTATTGTCAAGCAGTTGTCGTACATCCATCTTTTTTGGCATATAATCATCATCTTTACTTTACATTAGTTCTTTAATATCTTTCCGGCCATGTACAATGCTTACCTTTCTTGTCAATTTAGACATCGCTGTAACGTAGATGTAGCGTAAAGGGTTGCTGAGGTTATAGTTGCTGAAGCTCTTTTATTTGCCAACCCCAATACAAGATTGGTCATGGTTATATTCTTATCCAGAAACATCCCACATACGTGATTTTATCTTCCAGCTGTATCCTATCTTTGCTTTTTATCTTTTTGCCAACCCTATTCCAACTTAGCCATTTTTTTTGTTATAGAGGAGATAACGAAATCTCATGTAATGCAACCTAATGCAACAACATAGGCACTTGTTTGACTTAATTGTATCAACGTTTTCTCTTCTTACAAGCCTCGGAACTTCATACCAACTCTCCTAGAGTACCCAACATCGTCTTGGTTTCAGGAATTTCTTCTCTTTTATACTATTCTGCCTTTCTCTACAAAACTGCTCCCGATGAAACGTTTCCTTACTATGCGTAGCAAAACAATTTGAAATTGAACAAGATGATTATTAATTAATTTTCTTTCAAT